AGTGGAGGTGGTAGTGGTGTAGTCAGGGTTAGGTTTAATTTGTGAGTAGGTAAGGTGGTAAGTTTGGTTGGGTAGTGGGCTTAGGTTTAGTGGATAGGTTTAAGGTGGGTGAATAGGGTGATAGGTTTAACAAGAAGCATAACTAAAAACCAAATTAAATAACTACCCACAAAATGACCATGGTGCCCTTACAGCCACGTCAGTCAAAATATGAAAATTACCAAAAAATATCTATGACTAAAAAATCCTAAAAATACTATAAAATAAGTCATAAAATAAGACTCTAAAATAATGACTAAAAAAAACCATAAATTAATATAAGAAAATTGCTATCAGCTTTCTTTTGAACATCATTGCCAATGTCCAACTATCTTCAGTGTGTTTGGTATTCAATTTGTTTTGAGTTCAATTTTTTTGAAAATTGAAGTTTTTTATTTTTTCAATGTTTTTGTTTTTAGTGAATCTTTTTTAAAATTTAAGGCCCATTTTAATACTTCTTTAGATGCCACCTTACTTAGATGGTATCTAAATGGTAAATAATTTGTGGAAAAAATCTTTTTAAAAAGATTAATGAAACAAAAACATGTACTAAATTTTTTGTAATTTTTTTTAAGTACATTTTTGATATTCAGAGGATTTTTTAAAGATTTTTTCACAAATTTTTACTTTTTAAGTATATTTTATGTTTAGGTGGTCTAAAAATTTTTTAAAAAAAAGTGCTTAAAATATCAAAAAAAATTAATTGAAAATCTTAAAATAAGGAAAGTAAAAAGTAGAATTTTCCTGAATAACTGTTTCTCCTCTGAACCACCAACCATACAAGTTTTACTCTTTTTGAAGTTTAACCTTCTCTTGACCTATCTTATACTCTGCATCAATTGTCTACCCTTCTAGCATTCTCCTTCACAAGTAGAGCACACCATTCATTTCACTCAGTTTTCATCTGGTCTATGGTTCTTCGTTGCACATCACCGAACAACTTAGAAGTTTCTCTCCTATCTCCTAATTGTTGGCTTCACTTCTCATGAAGTGCTGGAAGTGTGGAATCATAGTTCTAGTTTTTTTGGGTTTTTCATTTTGATATTAACAATCCCAATTTCAGCCTAGTGTATTTCATGAGCAATGTTCTGTCCCTATCTATGACTCATCTTAATAGTGGTTTAATAGATTTTTTCACCTTCATGGGTATACATGAACGATACAGTAATCCAGAACCACCTCCACCTTACCCCATAGCGCTTAATTATTCTAAGCAACTACAACTCAAGCGGAAATAATAAGTATCCAAAGTTCGAACATTATGATTCAAATATTTATCACTAAAGTGATGGTTAATTATTGCAAAGATTGATCTGCAAGATAAAATTACTGTACAATACTTTTATCGTGTAAACTTTAACAGCTGCAAAAACACAAGCAACATACATTAGAAATAGATCATGCAAGGCATACCTCCTCTAACTCTCACGAGGTTATAAAATACACGATTCCACTGACAGCATTGCAACAGTTCATAACATTATCTTCCAAGCAAATTGAACTGCACTAGCCAGGATAAGTGCCTTGAATATAATAGGCTCAAAGGTAGGCCGGGCCCTTGATGCCCAAACTGGATTGACAATTTATATTACCCCGTAAGCGGCACCTAGCAAGCACCAGTAATCTCATATGATTTGACAATCAGCTTCACTGTCAAATGAAAATTAATGGATAAATTTCTTAACCATCATAATACTAATTCTGTGACATAAAAATGAAAGTTCAGCAAATGGAATGAACAATTCAAGCACATTCAAAAGCCAGCGTTTTTCTGGTAAATATTGTAGGCTCCTGAGAAAGCAGACAAAGATGGATGATATATCAGGATAATTACAGAAATACGATAAACAATTAACAGACAAAACAAAGAAAAATCCAAGAAAGACTGGAAATTAAAGGGTAATAGAGAACAATTCGCAATATGAATA